CCTGCAAAGCCCGACAAGCTTGCCGAATGGAGATCAGGAGAGTGCCACCCCGCGTGTCCTGGTGCCAGTTTGGGATCTCTTCACAGCCATACTGGCAGAAAGCCTCGAGGTCGGCACAATTCTCGCTCGCAAAGAACTTGAGCTGCGCCGCAAGCCCAAAGCTGAGTATCGAGGAAATCCGATCACCGGCTGCAGCCGCATAGTCGACTGAGCCCTCCAAGTGCGTCAACGCCACGGCGATCGGAATTTGAACATGCCCGATGAAGTTGGCGTACAGCATATAGCCTCTAGCCATCGAGAAGGGATCACGGTATCGGTCAAGTAGCTCAATACAGACGTTGCCCACCTCAACTGCGAAGCTCACCATGTTGAATCTGGCCAGAGCGACGAGACCGAGATGTAGAAACGCCATGCCTGATTGAGGGAAAGCGCCGTGAGTGAGATGTAGATCCAGCATGACGAGGGAGAGGTGGTAGAATCGCAAGTAGTCGCTCCACCACGCAGCGCTGACAGTCTCTGCCAACACAGCACCGATAGACGGCAAGCTGGGGTCTGTTGATGGTGCCGGGTTCATCAGCTCGTTCTTGTCCATGGTCTGTATTCTCACAGACATCTTCTCGAACTGATCGTCGCATTTTTCAAAGGTGGGTTCGTCATCGAATTGCACGTCAAGTGCCTGTAGACATTCTTTCAGTGCAGCCAGCGCGCCTCGGGCATTGCCACCTTGCGCTAGGGTTCTGGACTGGAGGACATAGGCTGGCGCCTTGTCTAGAGGGCTTCGTGCACACTGGAAAATTGTATCTAGGAGGGAGTTAGCTGCGGCATGATTGCTCATGTACAGATAGCATTCCGCAGCCCGTAGATGCAGCTGCATCGTCTCATCATACGAGACATCCTCAAGCTGGTCGTTCCATGGATCTGGCTGAAGTAGAGCGACTGCCGTACTGTAAAGTTTTGAGCCAGTTGGGCGGGCACAATTCTCCACGGCCGACTGTGCGCACTCGTACAGCAGCTTACGGTACGTCTGGCGTCTAGGGACACGCTTCTTGATAATGTCGACAGACTCGCAGATGTGCGCAGCGGTGTTGTCCTTGGCTCTGGGATCAGCTGAATAGTACTTGAGAAGCGTCTGTGCAATAACGAAATGCATCTTTCGCGCGTTGCATTCCTTCAATGCTGCCGACGCCTGAATAAATCGGTCGTGGGCGAAGCGGAATCTATCGTCTGTCTCGCTCGGGACGATGATATAAGCCTGAACCGCGGCTTGCAGTCCGTTGATTGCTTCTTGCTGAGAGTACGTCGCGTGGTATTGTTCGTTGCCTGGACCTTGACACGATGCCTCTTCATTGTCCTGGTACTGGAACTCGCCACTCAGAAGTCTGCAAATGAGCTCGAATGAGAAGGAAGATCCGAGGAGTGCAGCCCATGCAAGTATCGCTCTAGAGGCTGGAGGTAGCTCGCTCAATCTCCGTGTGATGAACCCGGTATCGAGTATGTCATAGTCGCTTGCGCCTTTGAAGTGCTCGAAGAGTCTATCGAGATCGAAATGCCAGTTGCTGTCTCTGTAGTCGTACCATATACACTTCTTCCGGTAACAGGCGCTCAGCATCTCTCGCATATAGAATGGGTTGCCTGCTGTTTTGGACTGTATGACCAAAGCCAGAGGAAGAACCTCCTCCTTTGGTCTGCACAGCGTCGTCGCGACATATTGGATGATGTCATCCTCGCAGAGGGGAGTCAGTTTGATTCGGGTCACTACGGGACCGCCTGATCGTGGAAACTCTGCTAACTGGTCAGCATATGATGGCGGCTTTGGACGGTGCGAGAAACTTCCCTTCGGACTCGGGAGGTGAGATGATAGATTGAACTTGTTCCGGTGATAGCTCCTCTGGGCGGTAGGTTATGATGACGACCATCTTCATCCGTGCCCCAATGATCTGTGTAATCAATTCCATGGACTCATCATCTGCAAAATGAAGGTCATCCAGCACAAAACATATGAACTTGTGGGATGTGAACATGCGAAGCACGTCGAGGAAGGTGTTCATCAATCGCATGGTTTTGGTTGCTCCACCAGCTCGCAGGAAGTCCTGGGACGCTTGTGAAGAGATGACGGTAGGCTTGTTCAAGCGGCCCGGCGAGCTTCCCGGCGACGAGCCACGCCTCTTGAGCCCTGCCCTGATGGACCGACTTTGAGTTATGCTTTGAGTGATGGACACTGATCGAGGAACGGAGCTGTCAAGCGCGCCTATGAGGAAGTCTGGTAGCCCAAGAACTTTGTGCAGCATTGGCCACACCGGACGAACGTATTGCTTTAGCGCCTGGTGAAAGGGTGTATCCGTGTTTCGCTCGCCGAATACCTGTTTGAAGAGTGACGACAGCAGCTTAAGCAGTGGTCCAAATGCAGTTCGGCGCGCGGTATCAAATTTTGCCGTGGCACAGTATCCCCTCCTCCTGGCTTCAGCGAGTGTCGACTGGTAGAGGCAGCTCTTGCCCAAGCCCCCGGCTCCTTCGACGAGAACGATCTCGCAGTGTCCGCGCCTACGGAACTTTGCCGATCCGAGCTGACGTGACAAACTCGAGGACGATGATTCCACTGCACTCAGTCGGTTGCTGTCTGTTGGCGTACCTACACCATCAATAAGGCTCCGAGTTTCGATCGAGACTGATTGGTGTCTTTCCCATTGCCTCTCCCACGGCCTGGTCATTCTCGCAAACGGACCGGAATTAGACGAGGCGATGGTGTCGCCCGATATCGTCTGAGTATCGGATAGGACGGACGGAACAAAACTAGCCTTTGACTGCCTAGGATCAGAGGACGTAGTATGCGTGAAGGATCCGCTGCGACGTGTTGTGCCTTCTGCCGAGCTTGCGCCCTCGCTCGACAGGTCCCCGCAGTCAGGGAGCTCAACCGAGAGCTGCGAACCATCAGAGAAGCGGTTGTTTGTTGTAGACTTTTGATTCATCGAATGGCTCTTGGCGACCCGCTCAATGACTCTGATAACTTCTGCTCTTTCTTTTTGCCGGCCGATCATCATACTGGGTAGGATGAAGAAGGACGAGATGTCTTTTTCGCCAATCTTCCACTCCTTAAGCGCCAACCAGTCGCCGTCGGTCAAGAATTGCTGCACCTTGAGAAGGTCATGCTTCAAACCACTAGCCGAATGATATCGATCAGCGACGGACTTGGCCGTGCACTTCTGTATGATGCGTCCGATAACGTCGGGTATATCGAGCCGAACTTGCGATACATTGGGGATTCTCCGCCCTAGAACGCCTTGCACAATATCGAGGGGCGTCTCGCCGTCAAATACCGGCTGCTGTGTGAGTAACGTCCAGAACACGACTCCAAGAGAGTAGATGTCAGTCCGACTATCAGGTTCTGCCGGCATACGACCTGTCTGCTCCGGGCTAATATAGAGGAGCTTGTTCTTGGCGCCCAATTCTTTTGATAGGCTCGACCATGAGGTGCTTGACAAGCCGCCCTCGAAGGATCTCGTCCCCGTGCCAAAGTTGATGAGCTTGACCGAGTTTGTCTCGATATTGAAGTGGAAGGCGTCCGGCCTGATCTCTCCATGCGTAATCACCTGCCCATAGTGGAGGATTTCCAGGCACTGACTAGCGCCAATGGCAAAGTCGAGGAAGTATTGTAGGTCTATCGGAGGCTTCAAGCGCAGATTCTGTTTGCGATACGCCTCGTACCGGTCGTCAACCTTCCTGGCCTTGTAGAATGCCGGTCCCATGTCCATCAGATCAAAGAGGTAGTTCTGGCCGGGATGCTGATAGATTGCGACCACAATAGAACCCCGATCGCCGGGGTGAGGAGCGAGTCGGATGAGGTCGAGCGGCTTGACAATGTGCAGTCCTTGAGGGTCGGCCGTGGCAAATAGGTTCTTAGCGATATGGAAGGCCCTCTCCTCGCGGAGCACATGGTAGGAGACGCGAGCCACCACTGGCTCTTCTACGTATGATATCTCTGCAGCGCCGGCGGGGACTGCGGGCGGCGAGGTAGCCGAGAAGTCGCTGCTCGCATCGCTGGGTAGGCCCGAGTGAAGGCTGGAGGAACTCGTATGTTCGGAGGGCGACGGTCGACCGGACTGTAGTCTCGCGATCGAACCGGGACTCGAGGCGGGTAAGGATGAAGAGGAGGAGGGCTGGTATGGAGATACAAATCTGGTACCGCAAACGTGCCTGTCCGCGCAGGTTAGCCATTGCAACACTTGAGGAGAGGTAGAGAGAAAGCGACAGAGATTGTTCTTTGGTGCTCGGCGGGCAACACTGGAAGGCAATGGTGTGGGGGCGGGACTCACCAGATGTCGTAAGATGTATGGAAGGGAAGCCGGGACTCGTCCCAGGTAAAGCCGGCGATCTGGCGAAGGCGCTCAAAAAGGCGCGAGGGAGGGTCGAAGTGGTCGTCCGACACGATGGCAGTGCCGTCCATCATTGAGGCCGGTCATTAGGCGCAAGCCGGAGCTTGGAGGCCAAGTGCACTTGTCGATGGTGGGGATGAGTGGGATTTTGGAGGGGCGCTCAGTTCCTTGAGTATCGGCGTCGGCCTTTGTTTCGCAGTCGGCGATGATGTCGTCGCGAGAGTCAAAGTTGACGTAGATGGGGTCGTGAATATCAGCTAGAGACTACCGTCCATGTCATATTTCTATGAGAAGCTCGAGGCGCAACTTGTACGACGGGGGTTGGGTAAACCAGAGGATTACAGTGCGGATGGTGTTGATGTTTCTGTGCATGCGAGAGGTCTCTTGCATCGGCCGGGTATGGGTATGCACGCGCGCAATCGGATCAGGTGGACGAGGGGTGGTCGGCCTCGCTATGGATACGGCGAAAAGGCAGCAGCAACAGCAATCTTCAGCAGTCTGTGAACTGAGGAAGACGAAGAATGACTAGGGGTTTAGAGGGCGTCGTCGGGCGACGGACGGGTGAGCGAGTGGGCAGCTGTCGGAGGAGGAATAACCAGACGTTGACGGTGCCGTTTGAACCTCTCGCTTTCACACCTGGGACCTCGAACAGAACTGGACGTTTGCTTGGCCGTCTTGCTGACCACTTAGGATCGAGATGGGGCAGGATGCACGCTGCACGGAGACGTTGAGCGATGGTGGCATCCGGCGACAGGGCAGCCGGAGGTTGCTTAAGGTGCGGCACTGGACAGGCGCGGGCAAGGGCAGGCTGGAGTTCTGAAGCAGCAGCACCCTTGAGGAGTGGAGTACGTAATGATTTTTAAGAGGAGCAAAGGGCACCTTCCAAGCGCCAGGGCAAGCCCACGCCTTCCCAAGCACCAAGTTCTCTTCCACCTTAGCTGTTACGGAGTACATACTTACCTTACCTTACTACCTACCTAGGTACGTGAGTGCTAAGGCATCCTCAGTATCCATTCGCAATGGGACGTATCCCTCCAGCTTTCAAGGGAAATGGAAGCCTCCACCTACCCTGGAAAACTTGAATCTAACCAGGCCAACTCCGGGCACTGCAACCTTTCAGTTGTATCTCGGAATTGTTCCAAGGAAGCAGAGAATACCTTACATACACCTGGAAGTAGCAGTAGCAGTCGCACTTGCATACAGAGCACCCCATGTCACTTGTATGTTAGGGACCCGGAGAAAACAGACAACTTCAAGACCGACACACGCATGTGCCGTAGTAAGTCAGAGGCCAAATAGGGAATGGGGCAGCCATCCAATCCAGTATGGAAGGTATCAAACGCCTCCCCAAACTCCCCTCGTCAAACATGCAAACGTTGGTGTCTCTGTTAAACAAAAACAGGACCCACGCCAGTGACATCTCGGCGTTCTTTCCTTGTCTCGTTCCTCTCGTTCCCCTCAGGCGGCTCCTTGTTCCCCTTCTCCTTTCCTCTATACGAACACACAGTAAGGCAGTCTCAAACAAGGAATTTGGTGCTCTTGTGAAAAAGGCTCCGCAACGGATATGCCTGCGCTGAAATTCGGAGAGATGAACAAAACAGATCACCAAGACGAGGAGAAGGAAGATGCATGCCAATCTAACCCCTGGTCACAGCAGTGGAGGAAGAGAGAAGCTATCCACTTATTTGGGGGCTCTAGGCCCTTGAGCAGAAAGCATTCCCAGCCCATCATCGCTCGCTCCTATCTCCCGGTGCTCCAACGGCAAACAGTCTCCAGTCAGCGCCAGATAAACGCGAATGGAATCATGAATGGTGTACCCGGCAGGTAGAGGTAGCTCGAAGTATTAGGCATGCAAGTTCCAGTACAAGAAAGGGGTAAACATCCACCACAGGCAATGATTGGCAGGAACAAAAAAACAATCGTCGCTACGTTCTCACCTTCTCGACCGTCTGTTTGGCCGAGCTCGCAGATACAAAATGTCGATCATCGGAGCTCTCAGCCGTCCACATTCACAGCGATGAACAGGGCTAACTGGGGTGACACAGAGCATCTTGTGCTCAAACCCTCAATGTCCATCCATGCCCACCAGTCAATCGACAGGCGGTGCCTCATGCTATTCAACTCTCCAAACTCCTACGAGCCTCACATCTTTCACCCACCAAGCTCCCGACGGCCTTTTCGCCAGAACCTCGAAAGATGACGGGAGATATGGAGGTACAGACAACCTTCAGTCTGTTCTCAAATCTACGGATAGATCTGGCCACACTCCTTCACACTGAACTTCCGGAGCCTTTGTTCCCTGCTTTTTTTTGTCCGTTTCCGCCGCTTTCCACCCGTCGCCCTTTCTCCGTCTCGCTAGGTCCGTCGCGCCATGATGGAACCTATCAGTCTAGCACCACCGGCTTTCCCTCCCCCCATCCACCTCCCGGGTCCCGTCCTGTTTTTCCTTGCAATGAGCACCGTTGACCGCTGATTCCTTGACTGTCCCGTCTCAACACCTAGGCCTTCTTCTTTGCTGATCTTTTCCGCACGCCCGGTCATTCGCCGGAGCTGAACGTTTCCATTCTGACAGCTGGCCCAAAGTCTCGAAGGCTCGAAGGCTGAAGTTGACCATGTCATTGTTAGAGCATAGGTAGACATGTTTACCCATCTTCTGTGGTAGGTTATGTAGCACTGGTTCCAACGTCCGCCTACTGTAAGGGTAGTCAATCAAAGGGTCCAGAGCTCAATATGAACCAAACATGCAGCCGTTTCTTAATACCAGGGTAGAAACCACGCCGTCTCTTTCACCAAGGAAATAAGATAAAATGCCCCCCCACCGCCGCCGTGGAACTGACGGGGCCGTCGCGACTCATTCACATACCCAAACCCCTGCTCCTCCAAGTCTTCTAGTACCAAATTTTCAGCTCTCAAGGAAATTCTCGAAGGTGTCTTTGGCGGGACGGTGAGTAAGAAACTTAGTGGCGAGACTAGCATCGAATCATCGAAGCCATCCATAACATCTTTTTTTTTTCAAGATTTCTTGTAGATACCTGAGTCGTGGCATAAAATCCTCAGAGTTTAGGGCGAATAAGTTAAAGCCAAAAGACAAAAAGAAAATGATGTCATTGGCGCACTGCCAAACTAGTCTGTGCTACGATGCTACCCACCTCACTCGGACCCTGAGTTTTTTTTTTTTTTTCTTCGTGATTTGACTGCGTCGCTTCTTTAGCGTCATAGAAAAGAGTGCGAGGAAAGAAGAAGACGAAATCAGTAAACTGGTGTATACCCGCTTGGCTGCAACAAACCACTTCGCCACTTTCTTCCCGATTTCCGTCTGATAATAACCCAAATCCATTTACCCGCGGGGTCTGGGGATATTACTAAGAATAAAGCACTCGCAACGACCGAGTTGCCTACCGATTCCCTGTTACCTGTGCAATATTGGCCTAGGACTATAGGTCCCTGAACCAGTTTCCTCTGAACTCCATAGCTAAATATCAAGAATCAGCGTCGCACTTACGGAGACGACGAAGATGCAGAATCTCGTATCAACTCATCCGAATTTGGTGATGGGTAGCCTCGATTCCTTGGTTCTGATGAGTTGAGCCTCGTAGGCTTGAAATACGCTGACTAAGTAGAATGGGGGAAACGAGAAAACAAGCAAACAAGGACATGTCAGACGCCAGAGACAAGGGTGCCAAACTCAACGGCTCACTGGATCGTGACTTTTTGTCAGATAGACGCTAGTTCGACCGGATGGCGGACCGTTTCCGTTGGCATGCCCATTACGCATCAGTCACACTACAGCTTCAATATGCAAGGGTCGCAGCTATCCGGACGCACCTCCGACGCCGAGGCCACACGGGAGACGACAAGACAATATCAGAGTGGAACGAACAAATGCTCGAATGGTGTGAGATTGTAGAAGCCAAACATCTATACTCTATGTAGGTATTCCTTTTCGAGGGCAAGCTGGCCCCCCACGCCTACAGCTGCGCACGACTTTCAACATCAACATCGTGGGTATGGCGCACCGGATGATATTCCCTCCCCCGCCCCAATTCAACATCGTAAAAACTCCCAGGTATTCTCTTTATGCTTAGCCAAAAGCAGCTCCCTTTTTCCTGAGCTTGCCTCCTTCCATTGGTCATGCTCATGCTTCTTTCTATTGCTTTATAGCAACAAAACTTGAAAAATCAATGCAATTCTTTGCCTCCTTTTCCAACAGCTTCCGCCACCATACGGTAGGCTTACTTGCTGTGCGAGGGAATGCCGTTGGCCTGGGAGCCGAAGGCGAATGACGCGGCAAGGCGACGCTCCTCGTTCTTGCGGCTGTTGACGAAGTCGGGGTAGTTGAGCGTGAGCTCGACGGCGCCGTTGACAATGTTGTCGGCGGCCTCGACACCCAGCATGAAAGAGTGGTCCTGGTTGCCGACCTCGTATCTCCAGGAACCGAAGCGGCCACGAGAGTAGATGCCCTGGTCGAGGAGCTTGGGAAGGAGGTCCTTGAGGACTCCCTCTCTCTCGAGCGAGGGGGTGGGGTAGCCGTGGTTGAAGCGGCGGTGGTAGGTGGAGACGATCTCGTCCTCGGGCTTGATCATCTCGGTGTTGATAAGACCCTGAATGCACTGCTGGAGGAGCTTCTCCTGCTCAACGGGCTTCATGGAGGACTCGGAGACCTCAAGCATGATGGACCAGTAAGGGCCCTCCTTGGCCTCGGTAGAGGAGGCCTTCTCGCCGTTGGCGAGGTACAGCGTAGGCAGCTTGACGTCGGCCTCGGGCTGGTTGTAGGGAGAGTAGTTGGAGAAGATGGTGGCGCGGTAGAAGGGGCAGTTGTCCTCGGGGAAGTACAGCCAGCACTTGTCGCCAATGCGGTCGGGGCGAGCGCCACGGATACCGACACCGATAACGTGAGTGGAGGAGTAGAACAGACCCTTGGACAGGCTGACGAGCTCCTGGTTGCCCATGCGCTCGACGAGCTGGTCGACGTTCATGGTGGAAATGAGCTTGCCGTACTGGACCTTGGTGCCGTCCTTGAGGGTGACAATCTTCTTCTCGGCGTCAACCTTCTCAACGGTGCCCTTCTCGCCGTAGCGAGTCTTCTCCTTGGGCAGGGTGTTGGCAACAGCGATCCAGATACCACCGGTACCGTCACGGGCGGGGAACTTGAAGGTGGCGTTGGGGCCCCAGTTACCGGCAACCTTGTTCATGACGACGTTCTCGGTGACGAGCTTCAGGTTGGGAGCAGCAACACGCTCTCCGAGCCACGCGCATTGCATCTGTAGAGAGATTGGCGTTAGCAAGCAGATCCAGTCTCAAGAGAGGTCTGTTCGCATGGAGGAAGTAGGCTTACCTTGGTCGTGGGGACAGCCCAGACCTTGTAGTTGTAGGGGCGCATGAAGATGTTGGCAACACCCTCACCGCAGTTGCGGAGAATCCACTCATCGAAGTCCTTGGGCTTCTTGTCGGCGACACGGCACTCGAGGGCGGCGTCAATGAGGCCGTTCATGCACTTAACCTGGTCCTCCTTGGGCAGGATAGAGATGTTGTTCTGGAAGGGGTAGGGAACCCAGATGCCCTTGTAGCGGACGTAGGAGACACGCTCGTGCGTGAACCAGTCATCCTCCTTGGGGAGCGCCTCCTCGATGCAGTCGTCGAAGTACTTGTAGTGGGAGAAGATGACGTGGCCACCAACATCGTAGAGCTGTTCATTGGAAGCTGGTTAGAAATTGTTTCTTTGGCTAAACAACACCCAATTCCTG